TGAGGGGGGGAAAAAAGAGGAGCCCCCCGCGCTTGCGCACACAGGACGGGGCCCTAAGCGCCCCCCCCACAAGCGCATGCGCGACTCCCTCCCCTCCCTCCTTCCATGAGGGTCGTTTCTTTCTCTCTCTCTCTTTTTTTCCTTTTAAACTCGCCTCAGAAATAACAGGGGATGGTTTGCGTGGAGAGGGGAGGAAAGGATGGAGATGGCTTTCTTTCCCCCCCTCCACCATAAAGTTTATCTCTTTGGAGAAATGGGAGGTTTCATGTGGAAAAGAGGTGGTTTCATATATAGGCCCCCCTCCCTTTTTTTGCCTTTTATTTTTATGAGGGGAAAATGTGTTGTCTGTTTTCAACAGATCCCTCCTCCCTTCCCCCAACATGTTTTTGGAATGGGGGGAGAAAGTTTTGGAAAATAAGTCTTAAAGAGAACCCCCCCCAGTAACGTCTCTGTGTGTGAGAGAGAAATTGTCTCCTCACAATTGTTTGTAAAAACACGAAAAAGTACTGTAACATCTGGAGAGGGAAAAATGGCCTCTCACTTTTGTTCATGAAACACGCAGTCCCCCCCCCACACACACACACAAAATTAACATTTGGGGAGAGGAATGGCCTCACACTTTTGTTTGGGAAAACACACAACATCGTCCCCCAAAAGCCACCTATGGGAGAAATGGTCTCAGACTTTTGTGAAATACACAATTTCCTCCCCCCCCCACCGCCGCCAAAAAGGTGCCATCTGGGGGGGGGGATGGCTTCACACTTTTGTTTGTGAAACACACAACTTCCCATCAGTCAGCCTATATGTGTATATACAAAAAGGGCCCATTTCCCTCCAGGGGATGTTTTTGATAAATCACCCACAAAGATGATGTGATTTAAACAACCTTTTAGGTGGGATATTCAAAGAGAATTAGGAGAGAAATATCTTGTGGATCAACTTGGCACTATATGAGATGCCCCTTCTCCTCAGCTGCCATAATTTCCCCTTTCAAATGCTTCTCCTCTTGTTAATTTCTCTCTGTTCACTTTTCTGTCTCTTGCATTTAAATCCTAGATTCCAGGGGGAAAAAATGATATTTCAGGCCTCATCTTCCCGTAACAGCAAAAGGGAGGCTAGTTCCCATTCTTTTCTAAAACGAAGTGGGCTCTGCGCGATTTCCAGAAGTTGATTCATCCATTGTTCTCATGTCGGGAACAAAGTGGCCTGTGTAATAGAAAAGATTTATATATCACTTTCCAGCAAGGCTTTCAGGGGTAAATGATTATCCAGGCCGAAGAGAGGGAGAAAACACAGAGAACCTAGCTTCTCAAAAATGCCCAGCATCTTGAAAATGTCACAGATACTCATCACAAATGTGGGCCAGCATTAATCCTGTTTTACAACAAAAGTTTTTTTAGTGTCTGACTCTCAGAAAGACAACGTGGTGTGTTTTTATACACAGGCACAACCAGGGAGCCCAAAACCCCACCCAGACCATACCAGATTCCCTCAGGCTTCGGCTATCTCTTTCCATTTCTTTCCTGTGTCGACCAGCTAATTTTAGAAGCCGTTTTGGAAGTTCCTCCTCATTTCCTATGACGAAAGGTCTTCCTGTGTTGGTTCAAGAAGGCCCTTTAGAAATTGCACATATTTTAATCATCACAACCTCATCCCAGCCTTGGGAGTGACTAAGAGCAACACCCCCCCACACACACACACACATGCCACGTTGCTCTGCTATACCTTCTCATCTCTTTTCTCCAGTAAAAGTGATTAAACTATGCAACCACTCCCTGTATAAATCCTGTTCCCCCTAAAAAAGAATATCTGGAATTCTTCAGATGCAGGAGGAAATAAATTACAGTACAGTATTTTAAAATTCTTATATATGCCATGTTGCTGAAAACCAACTGGAACAATTGGGGGATAATCTCTAATAGTCTGCAGAAGTATAAATGAGCAATAACTGGGTAGATACAGAGCAGTGACATAAAATTTGACATTGGTAGGATGATAGCAATTCATAGGCAGCAATTGATGGATACATGAAGTGGGGAATGTTGTGGCTTTCCAGGGTTGCTCGACTCCATCTCCCATCATTCCTCCCCATTAACCATTTTTGGCTATAGCAGAAATTGTTAGACAGTAGATTCCACCAGCCTTAGTGAACATCACCCATGGTGAGGAATGTTATGAGTTGTGGTCCATGAATAAATGGAAGAGCCAGGCTCTGCCCACCTCGGGATCCAGTGAGATTGGAGGAAGAGATCCCTGAGAAAACACTGAGATCACTTTGTGCCACTATTCTGTAACGATTCTTGAGGATCCCACATGCTCAACTGGGCGCATGACAAACCTGCGCCGTTTTTTCACATTTCAAATTTGGTTTGCAAATGCCAGGAGGGCATTTGCCTTTGATCACACTTCTGATGGCAAAAAATCCCACTCGTAGCTGGGATCGGTCCAATATATGGCCATAAGATCAAGTGGGTGGGAATTCCCCACAAACACCCCTCCAAGATTTCATCTCACTTCCTTCTTCAGTTTCCTAGATGGAAACACT